AGCTTGTGATCCATTCTCAAAACTTGATAGGACCTTCTTGACAACTCTTCTTTTATGTAAAAAACATTAGCCTCATGTCAAGAGACAACGTGCACTTATACTCAAAATACTGACACCACTATTTAATCTGCGTCATCCAATACAGATGTGTAGAGACGAGAGTTACAACATGTTATGACGGACCCGCTTTTTTCCACTTTGTCTTTCTCTTCTTCCTATTCTTTTCTTTCTTATTGTTGGAATGTAATAGAAAGATGTTATTCGTTGAGATAGTGATATTGCAGTGTATGCTAAGGAAAAAAGAAAGAAAAAGGAAAGAAATAGAAAAAATCCAATAGAGAAGAACGAAGCAATATACTTCGCAATTCACTTCGATGTTTGTTTTTTTGTCGATCAGACCAGTTGTATAGTAGGGTCATCTTAGAAGATGAACCAAGTTACTACAATAGCATATACGTATTTCAAGATCTTTTTGCTGATTGTAGTGTTCTTAATTGTTTGCCTTGATTTGAATCATGTTATTAGATTTATTTGGTTTTGTAGTATAATAATTATATCAAATATTGTAAGGATGAATCGATGATACATGTTCCAAGCGTTTATTAGTATTGCTCAATTTATCTTGTTTTAAGAAAGTATTAGGCAGTTGATCATTGCTTTTGCTTTTATACGTATATTTATTGATTTATATAATGAAAAATTATCTGAAATAAATAAAGAATAAAAGAATTTTTTCATAGATGCAAAAAATAGAATAATTGAATATTTCGAGAAATACATGTTTTTGCAAATGAGAAGCAATTTATGAACTATATAACTACTGTGTTTAACCCAGTGCCTTCTTCAAATTTTAATTTAAAAATGTGGCCGTTTTCGGTTGTTCTATAGAACAACCGAGAGTGGGTGTGGGTGTGAATTAAGATACGAACAAATGAAACTTACACTCAGATCCACACATCTAGGCACTCCCATACCCACCCACAGCCACACCTAGCCACACCCACCCACACCCTCAAGACTTATCCTTATTTCGTTCGTGGAAATTCATTCATAAGAAAATTGAACATTACACTCACATCAATCGAACAGTGATCAATATGAGTGATCGTCAATATTTTATAAATATGCAATCAGTTATTCACAATCAATTATCTGCTCCATCATTTAAAAATCTAATAAAATCAGGATTTATAAATGCTGGAATAATTCACGAAACAATTGAAGAACTTAAAAAACCAAAGGATATTTGTTTCAAATTCTACGATCTCTATTGTTCAATGAATAATTGTGAAAATCGAACACTTCTGATTTGTGCTTGACGCAAGAAGCATTTTTGTCATTATCATCTGATTGAAAAAATCCATATTCATTTGTAGTATATCACAATAAAGTTACTTTAGACTTAATATTTTCGATTGAAATAAGAACAAATGGATTAAAAACGCTTTGCTATGATGATCAAAAGCTTCTTTTTCTCATTCATACGTAACTGAGCCTTCTGAAAATATCGAAATTTGTGCAAGATTATTTAAAAAAATAGTTAATGCTGCAAAAAAACTGAATTCGAAAAATTCTGTTGTTATTAAATGTCTAAATTTTCAATACCTTAAAAGTTGAATATCTCGATCTAGGCGCGCCACGGGCAGCTCATATTTTCAGTTTGGTAGTTTCTCATTGAGGGCTATCATTTGACACTAAAATAGTTAAGGAAATCGTCTGATATGACAGACGGGTCCATTGTGAGTTCATTGCACACCATTACATAAAAAATAGAATATTTTAACGAATATTCTCCTCGATTATCCGATTGAATAGGAAGCCATCATACCAATTTGAGTGCATCGTTCAACACTATATAAACAATGAATATTTTCGCGACAGTTATCCTCGATTATTTAATGAAAGTGCAATATATCATTTCAAAACCAAAATATTATGCAATATCATAAGAAAAAAGAACAGTTTTTAGGAAACTACACTTCGGCTACTTTACTCACTTTGTACCAATCATTTTAATGTAGTCATACATGATTCACAATGACACGAGAAAAGGATAGTTAGCGGTAAGAATCTCTACTAATATTTGACTGATTTCAAATCCATTATTTTTATGTGTTGAAGTTATTCACAATGATATGAAGAAAGAAAATTTTTAAGGACAATTTTATTCTAATTTTTGATTGAATTGAAATTTATTGTTTGAAGGCAGACAGATTTTTCAGCATGACATAACAAACGAATAATTTTCATCAGATCTCTCTCTTAAAGTTTCACTCAATACAACTCCATAATTCCAGTATGAGCACAGTATTACTCGAAAAAAAAAATGATTTTCAAGAAAATAATATCATTCTATTTGATTCAATGGGAATCGATTGTTTATTTGTAAACATATTATGTAATATCACATGAATAAGAAATCAATTTCAGGAAGTCTATGCTTCACTATATGACCGAATGGAAGTTCATGACCTCAATAAGAGCATATCATGCGACATAGCACAAAAAAAAAATAATTTTTAGAAAATTTCGCTCCTATTATTTAACTCATTCGGCGCTCTTTAATTTTATGAATACCTTATACAGTATTACATGAAAAAAGAATATTTTGTTATAAAAATCTTCTTCTATTATTTAAGTCAATTGAATTTAATCAGATCCATTTGAGTATATTATACAAAATTGCATAACAAAAGAATAGTTTTCATAAATATGCTTGTCTACTTTTGAACTCAGTTGAAATCAATTATACAATGGAAATATATTATCCAACATCACATGAAACAGGAAGAATTTCTAGAAGAACTTTTTTCTACTATTTGAGTCCATTTAAATATATGATTTGAATATTAGCATATTATTCAAGAGAGGATAAAAAAAAAGAAGAATTTTTAGCAAAATATTCTTCATGTTTTTTAACCTAATCAAAATACATTATTCCAATATAGCATATTGTTCACTGTTACATGTATTAATAATTAAAATAATTTTGAGAAATATTCTGTACTATTTTGTGCCTCATGTGAAACCCATCTGTTTAATAATTATATATGTTGTAAAATGATGTGAAATGAGAATAATTTTCACCGTATTGTTCTATGGCTATTGGCATCAATAGGAATTAATTAATTTGCTGACAGTGTATTGCATGACATCACATGCGAAAAGAATAATCTTTATTAAAATGCTATTTCAATTTTTCAGTCAAATGGAATACCTCATTTAAATAAGTCAATGATGTCAATCGAAAGACATTATCGAACATCATGCAAAAGAAGAATAAGATGGGGTATGGGCGTGAGTGTTAATGTGGGTGATGGTGTATGAGTGTCGGTGTAAGTGTCCTGATATGTAAACACTAACACTTTGACACCAGCGCCTTCTCTACAAAATAAACGACTTACGTCATACTAAAACTAGTTACGGAATAACTTGAATTCTTTCTAAAAAGCTTTAAGAAACCTTCTTTCTTTATAGTCTAGAAGAGGAAAGAATGATTTCATTTTCTATTCTATTTTATCATACTTCAACTAATATCATAATAGTTAACTTTCGATAAGACTTTGTTTACTATCATATGCGTCCGGTATTATTCGTGCTTACTCAATGGATATTTTGTTTGATAACTTTTCGTACAGACTAGATAGAGATTTGCGATCTTCATCGTTCAAAAGTGACGATCAAAATTTGTCGAATCATATAGAATACGTTTTTCTATTATATGATATTCTGTTTGTTTAATCAGTTTTTCTGATATTTCGTCGGTGGGTTTCAATTCACACTTGATAATTGGAAACTCTTTTAAAACATCTCTCGAGTAAGTTTGTATTCAAACAGATTGATTTTAAGCCTTTGAAAAACTCACTTCAAAATAAATCTACTATATATTTGACTCGATTCTTATTGATTTCCTCTGTCGAACAATGAAAACCGCACTTCGCTATATTGTTGTTACCAAAAATTAATCCAACAAAATATCGACTGAATAGGTACTCGTACTACTGAATACACATCACAGTAAAGTAAGTCTTATCAAATATTTATCATTATGATATTAGTTGAAATTGCGTAACTATTTTTTGTTTGACCTCAGTATAGTTTGTTGCTTATTCTACATTATTCTATCCAAAATCATGTCTTAACTTCCTCACGAGAAATGTCGTGCCCAACTTAAAACAAAAAACATATCTTGCACATAATCCAAAATTTTGATTTCTGTTTGACTACAAAGTTTTCGTTGAGAGAAAAGTAAAATTTAAAAAGAAAGAGATCGATTTTAATGAAAAAATCACTCATTTATCTTGTTTTTTTTTTTTGCTTATATTAATTGCGACTTCATCCATCAAAACATTTACGGAAAAAAGCAGAAATGATCACCAACTCAAAATCAACATCGACAAGTAGTGTATCGAATTAACTACACTGTATCTGTATAAAAAGCAAACAATCTCAGTTTTCTAAACAGTCCCAATTAAGAAGAAGTTCAATTTTAATTGAGTGCTTTTTCACACAAACAAAACATAGAACTTTAATAAAGTACAATAAATCTAAATAATGAAATATAAAATTTATGAGATAGATACACAAAGATGCAATCTAACTCTCTTGAGTGTGTTAATGTAATCAAAATAAACATTAGCATATGTTGTTCAAAGTTAAATTCTGTTTTAAACTCTTATTTCTATCACATTACCTTATTTTAAATTTTTTAACGAAAAGAAGTAGAGAAATGCACGATGAAAAATGCGTAGAAAACGGTGGGCATGTAGAAATTCGAATCTAAAAATTGCATTTTGAGTTCATTCTAAATCAAAATCACTGCCACCAATTTGAGTCCCTGGTGCAACTTGATTTCGATTCGTTCTTTTTCTACAATACACTTGCCAAATTTTGTTTGTAAAAGCATATTTAAATTGCCGTCGAAATCGAGTTGATGATATGAAAAATAAATAGAAAGAACCCTAAAATAGTTGATATGCATTTTAAAAAAATATATAAATTTAACGTACTGCATAATTAAGATGAAAAAATGTAATGAAAACAGTACCGATGACTTGTATAATGGCTTGTGAAATCGAACTGCTACCGTTTGTGGGCACGGCAAGTGTGTAAATACGCTGTAAAACATAGGGTAATGTCATAGCGTCTAGAAAACTAACTCGAGCAAGAATCATTGCTGTCAATTGTTGATCAAGTTTTCGTCGACGTATAGGCATACCACGTCGTATAATACGACGAACATTTTGATACGCCAATATACTGAAAAATGACGAAATAGTAATTGGTAAAATGCCGGTAAGTATAAGATAATAGACATATGTAACATAATTTACAAAATCATGAGTATATATATTACACCCTAATGTTGATTGAATATCAAAGAAGATGAATGCTAATGAACCATGTAAAATCCATATTGCACTTGTAATAGTTGTAAAAATTTTAGCTGTTCTTATTGTACTTTTTTGTCTTAAAAATGCATAATAACTCGTTGATAAATATTGATCAATAGCAGCACAACAAACAATACTAAGTGAAATAAGAGTTAAAGATTGTATAAAGAACGCTCTTAATTTACACCAAACTAATGATGTCTGTGTGAGATCATTGAGAAATCCATTTATTGCAATTCGAGATGTCAATATAATAGTCAATTCAAGTAAGTCTATACTTGATTCTGTGATAAGAAAAAAAGCAGATGGATTACCGCGGAAAATTTTAAAACGTGTCAAAATGAAAATGATTGTAATATGTCCAAAAATGCCAGCAAATAAAATAATAAAGCTAACATAAATTGTGAATAGTTGAGAAATATAAAAAAGTAATTGTGCAGTTGATAATGATGATGACATGATATATGTACGTAATGTTGGATTGTTTTATTTTTCTACAAGTTGAATAAACAATGTCAACCTTGCTTTTTCTTTTTTAGTAACATGAAACTCTTATTCGCCATTTTATAAAGATACTTCTTAGCTTAGCTCTTTCGCGGCTAAAATACAGTATTCACATGTATCCTATAATTCTACTACAGTAATATATATGACATAAAGTAAGCAAATTCTCCTAGACTAGCCGTTTTTGTAGATAATCGATGGGCATAGCGAGAATATTTTATTTTCTACATTTAAAATAGACAATTTTCCTTTTTGCTTGCGCGTATTCAATATCATTTAATATTGTTTCTATACGCCAGATATTTATCAGTTTTGTCTGTTATTTTTTTGTAATTTAACGTTATTATTATTTCTCATTATTTATTCATCTGATAAATAAGATCCTTGTAATTATGCGTCGTATGCGTCTCAGCGAATCCGAACGTTACACTTTTATGTATCTTAATCAACTCATGAAAATAATAATAAGCTTAATTCATTATTAATATGAATTGTTTTCAAAAGATTTATCAACTGTTGTAAGTATCTCAATTAACACACAAAATACTGATAGATTGTTTTTTTTTTGAATAAAGAAATTTAGAACCTTCTGTGGTTGGTAACGGAAAGATGCGTATGGTAGATAAAAATAATAACGCATGTTTATAGTGGAAGACATACACGCTCATTCTCTTGATGTTAAAGATTATAAAGAATGACATCAACAAATATACAACACAATAATCATTTTTTTTGACTCAACTGCGCTACGTCATCTGAAAAAAAAGTAGGAAAAGCTCCTACTGACAAAATAATCTTGAAGGCTTCGCAAATGTTTTTGACAGAAAAAAAATCTAGAAAGAGGTGTTTATGTTGTAAATTAAAGCTTACAATGTGTATGCTTAAAAACATGAGTTTAGAATCGAACTTCAAGACTTTCAATGCAGTAGGCGTTGTTAAGAGTACGACAATTAAAAACAATGAAATATTTCGGCATCAATTTAATTAAAAGGCCTAGGTTTTTATTGTCGGCGCCAGAATTAAATAGGGGTGGGTGTAAGCTCAATAACTCGACAACCGCAATAGCTAGCGATCTGCGGTTTTCGTCAATCGAAAGAGGAGGAGTTGGGACGTCTTTTTCTCT